AGAGTGCGTACTAGTAAATTATCGTAATTACTCGGGAGTAGATTTATGGTAGTAAGAGTGCTCATGATCGATAGAGACGATTAGGCAAATCTATATGAAACATAACAGGAGGAGTCCATCAATAGGGAAATCACAACCTTAGATCCTTCTCTTAATTGTTTACAACTCAATCATAGTTAGCTCTTAGTTTACTTAACTTCATTCAGTTATAGTTAGTAAAAATATCACCAATTGTTATTCCAAATATCTGGGAAGTTGATTACGAAGAATTTAGTGAGTCTAACCAAAGTAATTGGTAGGTTAATGGGATTCGACTCTAGGCTAAATACTCAGATTATATTTGCAACGACCGCTTGTCCGTTTTAGAAGGTATAGTTGGGCGTGACCAAATTTTGGCGCAGTTGCCGGGGAATTAACGGTGTTTACATACACCATCTGCACCCATCTCGAGTGACCTCGAATCACGAGACTATGTTGTCCCGAATCCCGCGAACCACTTCATACCTTCCTTGCGCGCATATTCGCACCCTCAACTGATATGCCCATTCTGCTAATACTTCTACGAATCCGAAGTCCTTTCTCATCTTTCTCTCAAGTGCTATACTGCAAGTCAAAACATCATAGAACATTCTGAGCCTCCACTCATAAGCTGCTGCAAGCTTGATTCTTAACTGTACTAATAGGCTCGAAATCATTAGGCACCATACTTTACCTCTTTTGAATCCATTAGGACCGTTACTGAGAGCCACCCGCTCTGACTTGGTCCCGAATATAATCAACCCCATAAATCTTATAACACATGAATACCCTCTCGACGAGGCACCCGGCGGAATTACTTCCTTTGAAACCTGCATTTATACAAGGCATAAATCCTGAATCTTTCCCCAAGTCTGAACATGAGCCAATAAGGCCAACCATAGCATGCATTTCGACAATTCATTAGCTCAAGTTACCACTTATGTTCCTTTCCCGTAGCTGAAATAACCCATCAATATGCTAATCACCCGAAACCTCGCAAGTAATTAACCATGCAACCCCATCATAGGCGGTGGGACTCTCCCACTTAGCTCGAAGCCACTATTACCCAACTCTGGAACTTACCAGGATTCTTAATCTCCCATTGACCTAATCCTTACGCAATCCACTGCCAACATGCTCGACATTTCACTGTAGAAACCCCCCTTTTCATACTCAAAATCATCAACAACATTTCGCACGACCGATCCCTTCGCTGTATAACCAATAGAATGCTTCGCAGAAGCTTGCCAACCACCCGATCGCTATCCTGCTCACAGGGATGAACTACCCATAGAAATTACTCCCCACATCTTCCAGCGCTACTACACGGGGTACAATCATTACAATATCAACACCCCATCCTGAGTCTGAGCTCACTTTCCCGCTGCACAGGTCCATTTGCCCCTCGTGGACATCATTTAAATGCGCGGCAACGTCCTTCCAATTCAAAGCTATGCTGCATCTTTCTTCATTTAAGCGGCTCCTTTCGGTTATATTAAATATCCTGCCGCACAAGAACCCCTACTTCAAATTAGATCCGTAGGCTTCAATTGCTAGCCACTATAATCCCCAAATCACTCCAGACTTTCCTTAAGGTGCGTAACCACCCTACCACCAAGCCCATATGCAACATCCGCCGCTCTCCCACTTTGGGCAAACTCATTTCTTTAATCAGCTACCTGACCTTTGCTTCATACACCTGGCCTTTTTAGAAGTTTAAAACTCCGCCTGACACTTCCCGCACGTATTTCTCATCTTTTGCTGCTCGGTTGTTGCCTTAATAAAATCTATCTTCATAGCAATTGAGTCCACAAATCTCTACTAACTTTAAACCTTTCCAAAGGTCATCTTTCTTGAACCGCCAACATTAGGAATACTGATTCAATCCTGAACCTCCGCACCCTGCGATATCTGACAGTTGCATCTCCGATACTATTTCACAATCTCTTGCCCCAAAGGCGAATTGTAGAAGATTACAACACCGACACACTTAATACGTTCAATTAGGACAATGACACCCCCCATCATAGGAGAAAACTCCACCACGCTTGCAAATACCAAGTCTCATTACTTCCACCAGCCCACATCTGGCAATCCTTAGTCCGCTTGCCTTTCCCCTGCCGGGAGAAAAATACTGAATCCCTTGATTAAGCACTGAGTAAACCTCCCTTCAGGTCATTCACTGCCCCGACACGTGGGCAACATCCTACCATCATATCACTACTGCGGAACAATCATTCATAGGCATCATGGCAACTTGTGCCTAGCCCTAAAGCCCTCAGAAGAATCGTTACTGAGCTGAAACATTAAAATATCCTTCCATAAGGCGACGATAATAATCCAATCAACTATACCGGGAGAAACACCACGCACCACATCCGTGGTACCATTATGACTCTGCAATTCTCGATTTGTAACAAGTGCTTTGTGTCGCGTAAGATTGAGTAGGAATGAATTAAAGGCATATGCCTCCAGGGATGAAATCGCACGATAAGGAATCAAGAAGGGAAGCACTCCTAACAGTCCTTCAGCCTCCCGAGGATAAGTACAGACGTCTGCGTACCGATCCGCAAGACTCTACTAGACTTGCTCATGACTCGCGAGACCCTAGGAACCTAGTGCTCTGATACCATGTTGTCACGACCCAAAAATCCCTTAAGGGTCGTGATGGTGTCGGACACCGCTGTCAGGCAATCCAACCAAATACTTAATTAAACTCCAATTTTAACAATTTTGAAAACCAAGATTTTTCCTTTAAATTTCATAAGTAA